CTGGATTGGAATGTTTGAATGGGGGACTGTATCACTGGACACTGGGGCCTTGTGCTTTGGGGACTGCAGTCCCTCGCCTCCCATTTCAGTGTGTGGAGGGCTGAGGCAGCTCAGAGAGATTTTTAAAGTTCAAGCCCTTAGCTGCAATGTTCCTGTCTGTCCTGAAACAGCAAGACCAAACAGACCACAGCTTGTCCAGCCTGTAGCGTATACATGACCTGTGCCTGCTCAAGGGCTCAGAGAAACGAAGGCAGGTGCCAGGGGGACAAAGAATGGACGGACTCCTGTGGAAAGCTCTTTTTCTTCAGGCCGCTTCTCTAGCCCAGCTCTCAGCACCCGGAAAGCCTCGGTTGCTGGTAGATTTCTATTCACACGGGTGTGGGCTTGCAGGGTATAGGAAACCCTCAGAACTGGCCAAAGCCAGGTGCCTTCAGAGCAGATATTCCAGACAGACTCTGGTGGTGCCCTCAGAGGGGCAGCCAGCCGGAAGGTGGCACATGCTCCCGGGAGGCCCACGGCAGCTTTGTCTTTCCTAGGCTTGGAGCACGGGTCACAGAATGGCGCCCTGACAATGCCTCCCTCCGACACAGTGGGTGGGGTAGGGGTGGGCTGGCAGGGACAGCCTCCGAGTCTGTCCTCACTTGGCACAGGCAGGATCCAGGAGACCCCCAGCCCTAGCTCCTGGCTGCGCTCTCTCCAAGGCTTTTGGAGCTGGAGAGTTGCTGATATGAGTGACAGAAAGGTAAATCTTTGGAACTCAAGAAGCTGCTGGGAGGATCTCAAAGGCAGGCTTTAACCTTCTACGTGCTAAGCTTCATGTGCTGCAGGATGATTAGCATCTCCTCAATAGAAGCTGAGCGATGCCGCCAGGATTCCCCCTAGCCTGGAACCCTGGAGAGAATGGGAGATTTCACTTCACCCTCGATTAATTAATAATAGAAGTCCCGATATTTTACAATCACTGCTTTTGTTCATATTACATGTATGGTGGAGGCATTGAGCTGAGCATGTAACAGCTCTGATTGTTTTAAAGAACTCTGACAGTTATGTAAGGTAGATGCTGAAATGGCCCCGTCTCACAGATCAGTAAATGATTAAGAATGGCTTAGGGACTCACACTGTAAGTCCAGCATGTGAGAAGCTGAAGCAGGAAGATTGGTGTGAGTTTGAGACCAGCCTGGGTTATAGAGTGGTACAATTCTCTGAGAACAGCTTTTTTTTTTCTTACAACATATGACTTATGATCCCATACACCACTGCTTTTATGACGAAAAGGTGCTGGCAGTGAGGAGAAGACAGGAAATCATTTACTGACGTGGCTTATTATTATTCTTTGTTCGGGATAAGAGAATGATTAAGCTTGTTATAACTGCCAAGTAGAGCAGAAACTTAAATGTGTGTGGTGGTCAGAGGTCAACTTTGTGGCGTTGGGTCTCTCTTCCACCTTCATGTGGGCTCCAGAGATTGAGCTCGTATTTTCAAGCTGGAACAGCAAGTACCCTTACTTGCTATCCAGCTTACCTGCCAAGCATGTATGGATTTTGAGGAAAATGACCTGGTTTTTAAAATTACTATGAACATTTTACCCCTAAAAGAGAAAGAAGCACATTCTAGAAGAGCAAGGATGCGAGAGATACGTGGAGAAAATATGTTGGCCTTCTGTGGACACTTGTTATCAAGTACAAAAAAACATTCTGCAGGGATCATGTCTGGCCACAGGTTGTGGGTAGGCTGTGCATTTGTGGAGACGAAATAATGATTGCAATTGTTGTGGTGTATGATGATTTCACTGCTGTGCATGTCTTTGTACTATGTGTGGGATGACCTGCACGTTAGTATCTATTTGAAAATGATGCCATGCACACAACAGGTATTATATGAAAGAGATTTATTGGATGGAGATGGAGAGAGAAAAAGAGAGAGAGAGAGAGAGAGAGAGAGATAGTGGGGGGAGGGGTGCCCTGACAGAGAGAGGGAGCAACAGAGGGGGAGAGATCAAGAGAGTAAGAAAGAGGGGGAGTGCCAACAGGTCACCATGTACTTAGCCCAGATGATGTCACAGGACACAGGTACTGACATAGGTAGGATGTTGTTAGGACCCTTAGGGATAAGAGAAGGCCAGTTGAATTGCCTGAACAATATAACACTGCAGATGGATACTGTCATGTCTAGGAGCTGGGAGGGGAATGTAAGGGGATTTCATTGCAACACAGAGCATCCAAGAGTTCATATTTGTTGGAACTGGCTAACAGGCACAGGAGATGTACATTTATGTCTACATTTTCAGTTTGAGGCCAACCTGGTCTACAAAGTGAGTTCCAGAAGAGCCAGGACTACATAGGGAAGCCCTATCTTAGAAAGAAAAAAAAGTGAAAGGTTAGGAGCCATCTGAACTTTGCCAAGCATATGGTGTTCTGGGACATCTTGACCTGTGTCTGCCATGCTTTTGATCCCAGGTGCTACTTGCTGGTCAGGAGCAGGCGACAGCAGCCAGCCTCCTTTATGAGAAAATCCTGCAGGTGAAGATCAGGCAGAGCCAGGAACAGCGAAAGTCATAAAGCCGGCACAGCTGCTGGACAACGATCCAGCAAAGCTGAGCCGAGCGGTGCAATTGCCGTCATGCTGTCCTTCACTTTTGGTCTCACTCTCCATGTGTTGCATGCTTGGGAGGGGGCTTTTAATATTTGTACAACTCGGGGATATTGGATTGATGGGAGATTTCTTATGACTCATTTATGCCTTCTCCCAGGAGTACTTCTTCTAAGCTTCCCCAGGAAGCTTAGCATAATACCCTGAGCACACTACCTCTCATGCTTTTAGGGAGATGTCCTTATCTGGCCCTACTTTTGAAGGTCTTACTTATGCTCTGGAGGTTGTGACTCAAATAAAGATGTCAAGGACCTTCTTATGAAAATGACTCCATGATAGTCTTGGTACAATCTGCCTCTGCACTTACTCAGGAACAAGATAATCAGAGCAAAGTAAACTTTAAAAGGTAAACAAGATTTGGCGAACTAGAGAAGTTGGCAGCAGACCAAATGAAAAGCCTCTTCCTACTACTGCTGGACAATGAAAGATGTGGATAAATGATAAAAGAATGAAGTATTAAGACCTCCCTTTCTTAGAAAAAGTTAACTCATACAGGGCCACTGTGGTGTCTATGAGCAAGGAACAAAAGAATACCAAGATTACACATATAAATAAATTCTACAAATATCAAAATATAATCACTGTATTAAGGCAAAAATTGAATAATAACTTCAGCTTTGGACTAAAGACTTTGCCTGGGGCTAATGACACTTAGTACCTGCCTCTTAGAAGTTGATAATGCACTGCTTGGGACATGGTGCTCTGCCCAGGCTGGCTTGGGGTTTTCCTTCTGTCTAGTGCCCTCCAAACCACAAGATTCTTACTTAAAAGTTGGGTTGTGGAGCTGATGAAGGAAAATGGTTTTAAAAGATAATTCTGTTATGTTACAGTTTATCAGTGATGACTAAACTTAGACCAAGAAAAAGTTAAAGCACATGTCTGGGAACAAAATTGATATGATCTGTTTTGGAACAACAGGCATCTAACCCCTGCCTACTGAGCTCTGTGTAAAGAAACACTCTGATGGCCAGATTCCCCTGACCCCATGCCTCACTCACTCCTTTATCTCCTCTGCTGGACCTGGCCACCACCAGGGCTGGGCCCTGGCAAAGACCCTTGTGTCGGGAGCCGACAAAGCCCCCAGACTCTGATTTGTCATATCCTGCCGGACAAACAACAGATGTCTGTGAATCATGCCTTTCGGTTAACAGCCCTGCCGGACAAACAACAGATGGCCGAAACCACAGACGTTGTTTTTAGTGACTGTATAACCTTGTGAGCCTCCACTGTAACAATCACATGAATCAAGTGACTTCTTACAATAGTCTTAGTGATTTTCCACTATTACTTCCTCCTCCTCGAAACCACCCCCCTCCTTGCCAGAACTGCCCTATAAAAATAAGACTGCTGCACAATTAAAGTTAGCACTTGAAAGGCATTCGTCTACTTGTGCTCGTTTCTCTCTCTCCCTCATCTCCTACAGGTACGACCCCCCTTTGCCCCCACGAATAACTAGGTCCTGCGGGTCGGGGCAGAGTGGCGCCCAACGTGGGGCTCGAAGTACGGGTCGACCCGGATGGACCCTCGAGAAAAGAGCAGGCCTGCGACATCAAGAAGTTGGTCACACTCCTCTGGCCCGGAGAAGACTGCATGACCTGGTAAGTTTTACATTACACTTCCGTCTCATCGAGATGGGGCATTCTTTGTCTAAGGAGATTAGCGTCCTTCATTAAGGATCTTAAAGCCTCCCTTCAAGAGAGAGGAATTAGGGTCAAAAAGAAAGATCTAGTTGATTTTTTCATTTATATTGATAAAGCTTGTCCTTGGTTTATGTTAGATGGCCCAACAATACACCCCAAGAAATGGCAAAAGGTGGGTCGTGAGCTTAATCAAAAATTAATCTCGGGGGAAGACCAAGCCCTTTCCCCTACAGTCTTTTCTTTCTGGGGGATTATTCGAGATATTGTTGAAGATGCTGATAATGACACTGGCAAGCGACAATTACTTTCAGTCGCTGAATATTGTCTTTCTTCTTCCAAGCAAAACTCACCCACCGCTTCTCGCCCTCCCTCTCGCACTTCTGATTCCT